GAGGTAGAGCCGGGAGGAAAAGAAAAGGAGGGGGGAAGGTGTCGGTTTTAAGATCTGGTTTTGTTTCTGTCTGTCCTCTCGAGTAATCGGTTTTTGTTTCCCTTTGTCCTTCTAAGTAATCATTAATAAACTGTTTTGCTTTGAGAAAGCCCTGTCTGTTTTGCCCAGGACCATGGTTGGTGGGTGCTCCCTCTGTTCTTGTCTCAACCCTCAGTCCCTTTGGTTTTTTTTCTCTCCTCTCTACTGGAGAAGGAGAGACTGTGTGAGTTTTAGTTGCTGGATCAGCCTAAAACCATGACACCACCTCACTACCTTGACTGATAGTTGGGCTGCCTGCCCTGCTGGTGGGTCAGGCTGCTAAGGCATTTCAGGAAAACAAAGGAGAACGCTCAACCACCACTGAAAGGCAAGTGGGTCTGCTCAGCTTTTCCTTGGTAATTTTGGGCATTGCATAGTGGACCTTTGATGTTGAGTAAGTTTGGTTTCAGCAAGTTTTGGTTAGAGCAGTTTAATTTTCCCTCAATCATGTTCCTGCCTAAAGCATTTACAGATTTTGCCAAGCTCTATCAGAGGTTTCTTTGTACTCTGATTCTGAAATGAGAGAGAAAGAGCATTTTTAATAAATGGCTATTACTTTGACCATGCAGGACTTTGAATCTGCTTGTGCTGCAGAGATGAGTACGTTAGTAGTGTGCATCCCACTGGTGTTAGTAGCACTAGGCTCGTCTGCTCTGTAGCCCCGATGTCCTACGGGATCCAAACAAGCTGTGTGTTCATGATTATTTCAGCAGCACATGACACTCACAGTAATTTGAGTGTGTGTTAGTGCTTGGCTTGAAAGAAGATTTAGTACCAACCTGTAACTCAGGAAGGAACAATACCATAGATAAGAATATTGATGGAGCACTATTATTAAAACTTAAGAGCTATTGATTAATAGCAATGGATTTTTATTCTCTGTGGTTTTCTGCTTTAGCAGTGCTTCAGGGTTTTTCAGGTTAGGCCTAACCTCAAGGCCTTTCTCCACCAACAGAGTATTGCAAAAGGTCGTCCTAATAAAGACTGGACTGTCTTTACATGTATATTATTTTTCTATAAAGCGTAGTAAACTGTGCAGCATTTGCTGCTTAAGATATAATCTGGTTTGGAATTAGGAACTGCTCAGTCATATATGTTAAAGCATATGTGCACGTCTGTGTATATACACAGACATTTTTTTTTTTGACCAAACCTGTTTTAAAAAGGTAAATTCTGAACTCATCACATATTTTATTCTGCCGTACCACAAAAAATGAGGTGAATGAAGACAATAGGACGGGAACATTTGGAATAGCTCAATTCAAGACTGACACTGTAAATCACTAGCATCAGGAAACCCAAATGACATATCCTTCTGAATAATTTCTTACACAGGGTGCAGTTCACCTCTGTGAAGAAACAAGGGCGCCAAGCCCCAGAAGCCATCAGACAGCTAGGATATTGTAGGATTACTATAACAAATTAAATGGCTGAGTGCTAGTTCTTTTTAAGCTCATTATTTAGTCTCTGAACAATTGCTCTGTATTTGTAACCTTTACAAAGAAATAGGAAAAATAACAGTTCTAAAATAAAGAGATACTTCTCTATTCAGATTTCAAACTATTAATGCTATGCATTGCAAAGGATTCACTGTAACATTAATTTTCTTGGTTTTAGAATAGTCTTATAATTTCCAGGGGTAGAGTTGTGCCATACTACTGCACAGTATTGACAGTAGTCTCTTCATGAAGAAGCAGGAGTTGATCTTGCTCACTAAGCATAAATTTCAAATGTCTTACTCCTACCTAGTGGGAAGAGCATTAAGTTAAGGTGCCTTAATATGTATGGGGACTTAAAAAGAGGTCAAGTCTGTCTTTTTATATCTTGCATATAGATTTAAAGATTAGGTCGTCTCAGTTTAGCAGACATGTAACCTGTTAATTTAATCTGGCATGCAGAGTTGCTGTTTCCTGTGTGCACTCCATTACCTGAAGAAGGTGAACCCTGCCATGATCCTTCAAACAGACTTCTCAACCTGATCACCTGGGAACTGGAACCCGATGGAGTACTTGAGCGATGCCCTTGTGCAAGCGGCTTGATCTGCCAACCTCAGAGGTAAAGATCAAAACTGAGCAAGCAAGCTGCTTGAGATTTTTGAGGCGTCTCTTTCTGTGGTAAATAGATACAGAACTTGCTGATTATTCTTCACTAGAAAGTGTTTTGACAGTTTTTCTCATCAGTAGCATTGAAACTTTCTCCAACTTACTGCTTTGTCCCACACAGTTGTGTCTAATTGAGTTTGGCAATGCCTTAATCCAGTGTGAATTAAATTTGTGAATTAATCAGGCTGGTACTGCTTTTTAATCAGTCAGAAAGTACTAACACCTGTTGAGATGTATCATTCCAATTTAATTCTCTACATACAGCCCTTGTCCACCAACTCGCTATGTTAGATTGGGCTTGTTAGACATTTTGCCTGCTTTCATGTGTAAGACACATTGAGGACATTTTAATACACACAGTAAGTATAAACAGCCATTTTCCTGTACTACTAATCAGCTTTACAATAGGTCACTTCTATCACAAGGAAAAGGAAAAGAAAAAAAAAGATATCTTTGCTTGCACTTCCCTTCAGTTTCGAACTAACCAGAGAAGCCAGTTTACCTACAACTGACTCATGATCTGCTGTTCAGACTTCAGATACTTGGGACTGTGCAGACTTCCTCAGTATCATTGAGTTTCACAGAACAGGAAGCAGGCTGACTTCGTATTTTCTGCTGGAAAAGCTAAAGCTTTTCATAAATCATTCTTTTAACAGGACATTTATTTGCATTATCAGCAATTTCACTGGGAGAAAATGAGATCATTTCAGTTTTGTGCTAAGAGCATTTTTAGAAAACCTACATGTTTGTCTATGAAATAAGCTCTCCAAGTTTTTTCCTACACTACCACTTTCGTTATATTAACTTTCAACAAGATAGCATAGCTGTGATAGAGATATGTAGATTAATATTTTTTCTTCTTCTGTGTCCAAGTGTTTCTACATTTTTAAATGCATGAAAATTAATTGGATAACATTTATGAAACAAAATGTGATCCAAGAAAGCAAGCAGAGTTGATCCCATCCTTTCAGCACAAAAAATTTAGTTAATGCGCAAGTATCATTAGCCTCTGGGAAGGTAAGTCAGCAAATGTCAAGTCTAGTAAGAAGGAAAACAGTTCAGAGGAGGATACAGCAAGACAAATGAATTAGGGTGTGAATGTAACTGAACTGTTCAGCTATAGTCACAAGAGTTATTTATCTGTTTAGGGTTATCACAAATACAGTAATACTGTGCATATCACCTGCCCATGACTCACATGAACAGTAAGATAAAGCTGCTTCTGTGAAGTTACACGGTGAATTTGAAGATTCAGATCATATTTTTTTAGTAAAAGAAACAGCCCATCTCTGCTTGAAAGAGCCCTTGGCTAAGCATTGCTAGTGAGTGATAAACATTGAAACTATCAGAGAATATGAGGATAGTTTGCCCACAAATGAAAGCCTTATAGCTCCTAGAAACCAAAACATACAAGAATTCAAAATCTACACAAAATAAGCTTCAGGAACATCTTTAGTTTGTTTACCCTTTGTTTCCAGTGAAAGAGGGTGCAGCTTTAAGCAGTTGTTGAGGGGCACCTGGCACAAGCAGCAGTCACACTGCACTGTCACAGGGACCTGTAGCCCTGTTCTGTCCCATGCAGTGAAGAGAGACAGCGGATCCACCGCGATCAACTTCTATTCCCTGTCTCCTGTCAACAACTATAAATCATTTTTGTCCTCTTTTGAAATTCCTACAAGAAACAGTGGGATGTTTGTTTGCAGGCAACTGAAGCCACTTTTCAAAAAGACAGCAGCAAATACAGCTGTTACACTGTCCTATTTAGAACCAAATATATAACGCTCACAGTTTCCTCAGCTCTACAGCTTGATGGCAAACAATGTTTTTTCTGCATTCCTTTTAAGCTGGAGCATCGTGTTTAAGTTGGTACTATGACATGAACAGAAAGGACTAGCCTACAAGAGTGCTTGTAGGCAGAAGGGCCAGGTTGTGCTGAGGTCCACTGCCATCTTGTGTCCCAGTATCAAACACTTTCTGCTATTGGGATCGTCGTTCTAGCTCTGCATGTGGAGGTCTCATCTTTAACTCTCCAGCTGTCAGGCATGTAAAAATCAAGATGTTTATGAAGTCAGCTATAGCAGATCTGACAGTATTACGCATTTAACATGCCTTCATGTGGGGAGTGAACGAAGAGTTTTATTAAGGAACTAGCAAAAGAACATGAAAAGATGTACTTCATGATCAGATGTCTTTTTTTTTCAACAGCCACAGCACTACATCTGTGTGTGAAGTGTCTGCCAATGAAACCAGGAATAATGAAAAAGAAGATCCCTTAATCATGGATGAGATGCCATTTCTCAGCTTGATACCCAGAGATATTCTTTCTGATTACGAAGAAAGCAGTATCATTCAGGAAGTGCGTAAAGAGTTAGAAAGTCTGGAGGAACAAGCAGGTTTGAAGCCTGAGCCTGACTCAGCTCATGACCTGTTTTTGGGAGATGAAATTTGAAGTCCAAACACCAGACAGTTTAGTTAGTTGTTTCTAGAAATTTTTTGTTTAGTGTCTTGCTTATATAAATCCTAAACACATACTGCTGGATAGAAGTGCAATAAACAAGGTCTTCAATGAGCATCCTTTTCCGTGCACCCAACCTGCATGTTCAAATTATTGTTGAATTCATTCAATCCTTGGACAAAACCTTCTGTCAAAGACAAATGGGAAATATGTCAGTGTTTCTTCTGGATTAGTACTTTCCCCTTGTACCTTAGAAATAAACTTATCAGTAGTTGTACTCATTAAAAAAATACACGTAAGCATAAATAATCTTAAGTTATTAGTGACTGTAGAAGTGACTTTTAAGTACGTATGTTTAGAATCACTTATTTTTCTAGGCTAAGAACCATCTACTTGGGACTGTTTTACTAATTTATTTTAAGCAGTTTGTATTTTCTAAAGAAAAAAAAAAAATCAGTGAAGGTGCAACATACGGATTCTGGGTGTCATGTGTCCGCCCCCTCCACCACACACACACACTGCAGAAGGATGGAAATGATACTTACCCTTTTAGATGGATACACCCAGAGCTGCTTTTCAGCTGTGTATAATGGATGCCATTAACTTAAGAACTGGTGTTCCATAGCTAGAGTATCCCTTGAGTTTCATACTTTCATTTACAATGGTCCTTGACCTCCCCCACTACATAAGGGCCATACTATTAAAAAAAAAAAAAATCCTACAACATTTTCCATATAAATAACAAATAGCGAGTGCATGCTTATATCCCTGTAACATATTGGTTTCTATATAGGAATTTTGACTTTGACTGTTCAGGGCTCCCTCTCTCAAGGGCAAAACACGCTGCTCAAAATTGCGGAACAAACAGCTACACCGGCTGAACACAAAGAATACCGGGCCTCTGTTGTACACGGAGTATGCAAAGTACCAACGTGCAAGAGAACAGCACAGGTGCCGTCTCAAGGCTGAGCCTAAGGCAGGGCTGAACACAGTGCCACACACACGGCAGCAGTCTGCACCTACGTGAACATACCTTCTTGGGTAATGTCCATTCAAGGATCTGTTCACCATCCTCCACCATCACCTTCCCTTTTTGAGAGATGGAGGCAGTGAACATGAATTCATTACTTCAGTTTAGCAGTAAAAACAACCTAAACAGCTTCTTGCATTTAGAGATTTGTGCTTCTCCTACTTGAGTCTATTACATCCGAAGAAAATTCTTTGGGAAATGGTTTGTGCTTTTAATACACTTCATAGGTATAAATCTGTGTGTGTTATACAATGTGATTATTGCTACTATCTTAACAGGTCATTGATTTAAGAAATCAATAGCAAGCGAAGACTAAAATCCCATCCACCAGACTCCCTGGCTCCCAGCTCTCTCAACAAACAGTTTGCTACAATGAGCCTTCCACTATGAATGTTTTTTTGGGGTATAGATTTTACCATCTGTTATTGCACATGGTAGAAGACGACATGAGGCTCCAGCCAAGTAACTTTTTGTGGAGCTTCTTCCCAAATAATCCCTACTGCTTATGTCTAATTCGGAACAATAGAGCACCAGTAACTTCTCAAGAGCAGCTATGACACTGTGCTACCAGCCTGCAAGTGTTTCACCACTTCTGGTCTACGAAAGGTTTTCAACAGATCCCTTGGATACCAGAAGTAATGTTAATAACCATTATCATTATGAAAAAGGATATTTAAGCAGAGTGGTCTAATTTTTAGTTTAAGGATTCCTATCTACCACCAATTCTCACACCAACACATGCACACATACACATGGTCTCTGAGAGTTCACTGAATTTACCCTTCCTTTCTATCCCTAATAAAATTACTGTGCTTTAGAGGCAGTCCTTCTATACAAAGAGAAGGAATTAAGTAATATTGTAATTTTCCTGTTAAGAAAATACTTCATGAGAGCAACTATTGTCCGTAAATACTGCCCTACTTCAGGATAACATTATTCTCCCTTCAGCTTTCTTGATACCTCAATACCTGAAAGATAAAGTGCTGGTATTCAAGAGTTCAGTAAGATTTCTGCTGAACTAAGCAAATCAGAAACTCAGGGGTTTTTGTTTCTTTAAAATGCCCATGGTCAAACTCAAAAATGCTTGAAATTAACAGAATGTGAAGTAGATGCTGCAAAATGTCTCCCAGAACCAGCCAGAATATTTTCCAGTACGCTTATGCAGAAGGAAGTGCACCACTGGATGGGAAATCATTATCAGGACACACCTCAGTCCTCTTTCCAGATTTCTGTCAAGACTTACAGGTTTAAAATGAACTTCTTCAAAGAAGTTCTCAACAGAAGTTTCCCAGATAGGGCTAGAGATTAAGCAAGTTTTTGGAATTCTCTTCTTAACCCTACTTTATTCCATCTTTAGGTTTTTGCCTCTCCACATGCTTGAGCTTGAAGAAAATTCATGACCCATTCGATAGTTAATTCTTTTTCTCTCTTCCAAAACCTCCAAGGACTCTTCAGCAGTCTATATTCATATGTAAACGGTAGTTTAATGAAGAACTCCACCTACTGGGTGGTACTCGCTCTCTGCCTCTTTTGCTCCTGCTTCCACCTCATTTATGTTGGACAAGAGGTGGCAAAGGTCAAACAGAAGAGGAAGAACGAGGGAATTCCTCGGCACAGTGCCTGGTTCTCAAGCTGCCAGATTCCTCAGGATTTTTAGGTTGCTGCAGGTCAGCATGCAAGGAAGAACTGAATGTTCAGTGATTCAAAACCCATTTTCCTTTCTGGTGCAGAACTTAACTGCCAATCGTATCTGGAGCTCACAAGATTCACTGGGGAGGAATTCAACTCTGGAAAAGAACTTAAGAGTTGAAAAATTTGGTGTGAATATCAGTAAAGAGGAGCAGCACACAGGCCACGAAACACTTCCTGCAATACTGTGCACACGCGTGGTGGGGTGTGTGCATATACACACATCTATACACACAGCCTTGCAATTCTGACATTGCCTTGGAAAAGTCTGTATTTCCATGAAATAATTCCATAATTTTTCAAATATAAACCACAGCATTTAATGACTAAAATAACACAACAGAATGAACAAATGTTTTATTGGCATGTTCATTGTTGTAAACAGCATCTGGCATGAAAAAGTTTACCAAAATCTTTTGATTGTTATAAATTAGGTGTTTTTTCCAAAAACTACGGAGAATTGTTCTCTATTGATCTTTATGGACCAAAGCAAAAAACTGCTGTTCCTAGGCTTTGCAATGAAATCATGTTGACTGCATCAGTCTTTGCACCACACCTGAACTACCGAGTTTGTACGTTGAGGTGCTAGAGGTTGCCCCAATATTTGACTACATACAGCTACGGAATCAACTCTGGGAAAAACAAAATGACTTTCAGCGGGTGGAGAAGATGCAAACTTGTAATAGTCTCAAAACCAAAATGTACAAAAAGTAGCTGAACAAAACAAAAACTTCATTAACAAGGGGAAAGAAATACAACCCTAAAATACCCAGCATCGTCGAACATAAAATGAATACAATTTTAAATAGGCAACTATACTTCCAAACGTACACAATGAATGTTGATATGTGAAAAGAAATACCATGATAATAGCTGAACTGCAGTTCTGTAGAATGGACAGGGCAAACAGTATTTACACATTGAATGCAGTATAATAGAGCTGCTCATTGGCGTCCGTAACCCATTAAAAACCAGTTTACCTTACAACAGCACTTCTGCAAAATGAACCAACATGTGCTGGCAGCCTTCTGCAGATACCTCTCAGACTACCTGTTTTATGGAAGAACATTCTAAAACCTGTTACTTGCAGCACCTTCCATTTCGTCTTCGACCCTTCTCTGCTGCTTTGCTAGAACCAACGCGTTAACATTTACTTCGGACTCTCTGATGAGGTAATGCGTGTATCAGTGAAACAAACAGAAAAAAGGATTCTTTCATGGCCTTTGCACAGCTTTTATTATTAAGCTATGAGTATCCTGTTTGAGGCTAGTTTCACTAGCTACTATGTGCACACTGTCCTCAAAATTTCCACTCGTTTCCCTCCCCGCCCACGTTTTAGTTCTAATCTTTTATTTGCACATCCCTTTTAGCTTTACAGTACATTTGACTATAGTGCACAACATGTTCCAAGTCAGACAGTGACCCAGCGGGGCACTGCGCTTCCGATTGGTAACACGGCCCAATCAGTGCTGGTGTCAGCGCGTTACACCTAACGAGTGTCCTGCCGTAACGGCACTACACAGTAGTAGTGAACCTTTTTATTTTAAACAAAAAAATTCCCCAGGGAAAATGCTATAGCGACTATCAGTCTTGAGTCAAATCTTTATTTGGTGCTCCATCCAGATAAATTTTTAGTGCTTTTTCTTTACGAGGAGAGTAGGTTACCCGGTGTCCAGTTTTCTGGAGTCTGCTGCTTTCTTTTTTCATCAGTTCATTTCTCTGCTCATCTGTTAATTCCATTAATTCTTCAGTTTTATCCCTAAAATGAAAACAGATGTTAAAATTCAGATTAATACAATGATCGTAATTAGATTTCTGTCACTTTTTCACTTGGAGCAACTTAGAAAAAAACTCAACTAAGCATAATACTCCGTACAGATTATTTTCTTCTCCAGAAACTACCAATCTGTCTAAACCTGCTTTTCCAACAGAGACATTCAGCATTCTCACTGACAGCAGACCCAGTGAAAAGCAGCAGGACACAAGCCTATGCTCCTCCACCTACCTGGCAACTCCTATTCTTCATAGACAGCGATGACTCTGCTCTTTATTCAGTCCTGGCACCAACAGCTGGAAGTGGTGTGTCAGCCCGCCCCCTGTAGAAACTACCAGCTGCACTCTCAAATAATTTTCTTCAAGGCCACCACATTACCAGCAAAGCTGTTTGTCCTCAAACTTGCGAGTAATTATGAAAAACACTGTAGAAGGAATGTGTTCACGAAGTTCTTTCACTCCTGAACTTTAGTAGAAACGATATTCAAGCTCTTAGTCCTCAAACGCTGCCTTTGAGCTACTGCCACCAGCTGACGAACGTCCTTCATGTTAACAAAATTTTTGTTGTGACGCCCTCTTTTTCCAAAGCAGCCATACTAATTTCTCAAAGAAAGAAACTCAGAAAATAAAATCCTTGCTCTCTAAAACCTACAGCAAGACTTTCACAGACTCTACAAGGGATATAGTTCTGTTAAGAGATTAAATCCAGGTATAGCAACTAGTTTTGCATTCAGCATTATTTTCAATGGTTTGGGAGGGAGGAGTGAGTAAAAGGCGTGGAGTTCTTTTTCTTAAACAATAAATGTGGTTAATAGTCCGGTTTTTAGGAAGCTGAGGAGCATTCGTATTTCAGCTCAATGTTTTAAAAGCTCTTCCATAAGCATTTTTCCTTTAAGAGGAGTATTTTAGGCTTCTGTTGATTACATCACCCCTCAAATCTTATGCACAGATGCTTAGATTATTATACTGTAATAAAATACATACCTATAAAATATTACTGCACCATCATCACAAATGTACAGAGGCCAGACATTCAATGTAGATACTTTAGGATTCCAGTCCAAGTCTTGGTGAATCTCTAGTATGGAAATGTCGCATGGAAACGTTCCTCTACCCTAAGAAGCAGCAATTACTTAGTGAATAAAACTCATAATTGCACCTCCATGCCATTAAAATGTAAAAATAGATAAAAATCTTCTTACCTTTGCAAATTCTATGTTTTCTAAGGGTATTTCACTTATTTCACTCAGCTGTAAAGTGAAGAATAAATACTGGATTTAATACTATTCCACAAGAACATTACGCAGTGTCTACATAAAATCCATAGAAAACCAGAAGTCAAATTCCAAGACACAAAGAGATCAGGTGCCTCATGTTAAACCTTCAGGTCCCTCAGTTAGCCCTCAGCAGCTTCCCCGGATGAAATGAAAGCTGTTATCATCAAGTTGACCTGGGAGCAGCCAAAGCTGTAAAACACACACAACAAACCCATCGCCGTACACGCACGCTTCCTACTGCAACAACTCCCTGCAACTGCCTCTGCCATGCCCCTCCCTGGTGCATGGAATGCACCACCCAGCCCCCCTCGTGCCCGCCACAGGGTCACTGGGCTGTGCCTGGCACAGCCTCGCTGGAGCCCTCCCTTGCTGGGCAGCCGCAGGGTGCTCACAGGCTCAGCACTGCCTCACCCTCAACTCAAGTGCGGGCTGCAGTCTAGTCTCCATGGCAGTGCAGACACTAGCTTAGATTTGTGTTTATCTCTGGCTGTTTGTTTTCCCAAAACTTGAAGACATTTCCTCTAAGACGCTTGACTCCATCACATCTGCTGTTAAAACAAGACATGCTCAAATTAAACTGATGGCGAGAAAAGACTAACAGCCAGTGTAATTTGCTAACTCTCATTTCCTTAGGAAACTAGAATAATTAAACAACACTGACAAAAGCCAGACAAATTCTGAAATGTATTATTAGCCCTACACTCTGCTAATAAAATTTGCCTGAAAGAGAAGAGCTGGCTGAACACACCTGTTACTACAGATGTGTCAAATTCAAATGTCTCTTATTACTGGTGGGAGCAAAAAAGATTAAGGCCTCGAGGAGAGAAAGCTGCTAAAATTGCTCCCTGCACTTAATTTCCTAAGACAAGAAAACAACAAGAGCCAACTCTTTCTTCAGATACAAGTGAAGAAGAAATCTTGAAGACTGCATGCAAGAACCTGTAGTAGTAACTTCATTTCTACCTGAAGAACACAAGAAACCAGTCCATAGCTTAATCTGTGTACGTACACAACTCCAAGGCTGTTGCATTCTACGGTAGCTGAACAATGTTCCTCTCTCCAGCCTATGTATCCCTAACTTACGGATGCTGAGTGTTTTAATAAGGTAAGACTTTGGCACACTTCACTGATACGATGATTTTTTGCTGACTTCAACATCCAAGGTGGCCTTCTTACATCTGCCACATCTAAATAACCATTTTTTTTATAACAGCAGAATGCTGTGATATACTAGAGTAATAAAATAGTCTCAATACAAGAGGTGCTTCTACTCTAGATTTCTGCTAGGATGGCACATGTCTGCTTACTTGTTAGAGGGTCATGGCCTTAAGGGAAAAAAAAAAACAACCAAAAACCATACCAAAGCCATATTTCTTTCCAATCAAAATATAGTTCAATCTATTTGGTACAGTTACATCGTCCCTGAGCAACAGTTGTCAAATTTAGATACGAAGAGGCCGAGAGGTTTGGTATTTTGGAACATCAAAACACTGGCTTGTAAAAACAAAGTGACAAGAGCTTAGCTTTTCTTTCACATGTGTTTTTCAAGGATAAGGGACACAGGTAATATTATGCTTCTTGGACTTCAAAACAGGACTTTTTTTTTTTTATCATGTTTTCACCTGAATACTTTGATACCAGACCATTATATGAAACTAAGAACTAAAGCTGATGATTCATACAGCTTTGGCAACAGGATGGGACCGTTTCTCATTTCCTGGGGGAAAAAAAAATAATCACCTTGCAACAAGATTTTTGTAGCTATGACATCTCTATGCTTCCCAACAGAGGACATTGATAAGGCTCTTAGAAACCACAAGAAACTTGCATCATGTTACACATTTTACCTTTTCTTTTAATTCTTCAACACTGCTGCTTTCTAGAACTACTTCCTGGAAAGAATCTAGTTTCATCTCTGACGGCCTCCATCGTCTCGATAAAACAGCAAGCTGTGACATGGATTTCATCTTTTCGATTCCTAGGAAAGAAAGAAATTTATTATATTAACATCACAAAATATCCTATTTAAAATTAGAGGTTTTCCATAGCATAAGCATATTCAAATATGGAAGACTTATCTGTGTATACAAACACAAACTAACCTGGTAAGTGTGCTGCAAGTAGTACACAAAAAAAAAAAAAAAAAAAAAAGGTGTGTGTGGGAAGTGACTTAGGATTTAGTTGAACTCTTCTTGATTATCAACTTCTTCCAAGGATTTTTTCATAGGCATCATCTCTCAAAAGCCATGTCGTTTGTTCTTCTTTAGGGCACATTTTTCCATCACAGCTGGCTCGGTTATACATACAACATCTACCCACCTAACCACAGGCTGACCTCCAGATCTTGCATTCGCATGAGACCTTCCTCGGCAATCTGATATTTACTCATACGCTTCACTTTCTTTACCAAAATAAGCTTTTCACGTTTGACTTCTAGGTTTCACACGCCAACTATACGCTTGTTATTAAAGTCTGCTTTGCACCTGCCACCTTGAAGAGTTTTAGCACATATGGCCTCCAGCCTTTTTGTATCAGTTTCAGGTAACAGCTTTCTCTGGTTGACAGGGCAATGCTGTTAATGTTGCAATCAGATAGGCAGAAGCGATAACAAAGGGCTGATTTTATTTTTATTTTCAGTCTGTAACTTTGTAATTTAGCATGCAGAACTGGCAGCTTTAACGTCTGTGTCTACCATTACACAGTTGTTTTCCATGAAACCACCACCACTGTTTAAGCTTCTCCCTAAAGACCTTCTACGATCTTGCCTGTGACTACGTTTGTGCTGCCTTTCAACACTGACCTATTGTCCGAAAGGAAGATACAGCCACCTAGTGCTTCCTGGCATTTATTTCAAGTCTGGAGCAATTACCTAAGTTTTCTTCAGAGCCAGACAATAGCTGATTTAAATATGTCGGCAACGGCATAATGTAAAGCTGCTATGCTAAGAAACTTAACTGTAAATTATTCTAAGGTGCCTTATTTACCTGCCTAACATCTTCAGTGTTCAGCTGAAGAACGAGATCAAGGTAATGGTGATTGTGGAACGCCTTACAAACCGTGACCTAAAACAGCTGTCTTTATGCTCTTCCAACCACCTCTGTAGTAGCAGCAGGTACATAAAACTTAATTTTCACAGGATACAGTGGAATCTAGCTGCATCTTCTGCAACTACATTGAAGTAGCATCTTTTGGGCAGCACTAGACAGTTGTACAAGATATTACAGAACACTCAGAAGCCCCATAGTCTATAATATGGCATGTCTGTGAACTAGGTGGACTGCAGTGATCCAAAAAGTAGTACCTCCAAGACCCACTCACTACCGAAACAGTACAGCAATTGATCCAAAAATCTTTAAAATGGCAAAGCGTTAACTGAAGTGTAAGCTGACACGCATGTCTATAGGGATCTGCAGGCCTTCTGAACCTCCCATCTTCATTTCAAATTTTTCTACTTGCATTGGCACAAGTTTTGTTAAGAATTAAAAATACCAGGATTGAACACAGCTGCAAAATACTGGAGTAACAGCTAAATGAGACTTCTTAAGCCAGGTATGCTTCTGAAGAAAGTTCCCGAGTGAATGGAATTCACATTCTTCATCTATTCATTAACAGAAACATCTGTTAATCATAGAATCATAGAATGGTTTGG